GCAAATATTATTGAGTCGCTCAAACTTGTTGATCAAAAATAAAACCAATGTTTCAAACTATACAAGTTCCTCTTGTGCTTTAAATGATCCAGCAAAGAGTTACACTGAAATTCTTTTCAGTTTCTTTCCACATCTGGGTTACTTGAAGTTCGTCAGACGGCTTTAGCAAGTATTTCGTGAAATGACATACCTTTACTCCATACTGCATATTCCATCTTTCTGCGCTCTAGAACTTCCTGTTCAGCTTTGGCAAGTGCATCCATCAGTAGATCTTCCGATAAATCAGTCATATGATCCATCTCCACCCACTCTGATAGCTGCGGAAGAGGGTGCTGGTCACAAGAAATCCTAGAATTCAAATATATGTCTTCTTGAACGAACGCTTTAGGTTGAATTTTTTCCAGGTCGTCTGTATTTGCACACAGTAAACCCGCAAGCGTAATTTTTTTGATTTCCTTCAACTGACTCGTTGTTAAAGAACTAGGTGGCAGGTCGTTCTCGTACCAGAATCTGTCCGTTTCCTTCAGAATCTGGAACTGTTCTTTCAAGAGGCAGTTCAAGGTTGGCCCCACCATGGTACCAGGGATGGGTTTCTCCAATAATATTCCAACCAAGAGATCAATATCTTGAGGACTTGTGTACAGATATTTGAGGGCTTTGATGTATTCATCTGTGATGCCAAATGTCTTCAAGTTTTCGAAAGATAATACTTTTTTACTTGTCGAGTTCGAGCAGAAGTGCAAGACACTGGGATAAGAAGGTATGCCATGATCTCTGCCCATGTGGATGAACAAAGAAGCGGTGTCCCATTCTGGTCTAACTGGTACCATTATGTGAATGCTGGGGTTATGTGATGGAGTGGTTATCAGTAGGTCCACCATTTCAGCGAAAGATTCCACGCTCTCGTTCATCTGGAAACAATGATTATCAACAGAATGTACGATATTGAGAAGAGATTTGTTATATCATGCTTTTCAATGGTGCCCCACAAACCTACATTCGATGTAGCTTTAAATTAAAACTTCATTTTCTATTATTAATTTGAGAAATGTCCTGAAACATTTTTATTGCCATCGTAGCATTAATATTAGGATCTGTACTATTTTTGTTTATTTGTACCTGAAAAAATTTTACTTAGTTGATGAGTAGAATTAACGAAAAGGAGAGAAATGTAAGTCACGTGTATATTCGCCAACTAGTATGAAAATTTCAAAAAACTGGTACTGTTGACAAATAAAAAAAAGGGATCAACCAAGAAGACTGAACGAAGCAACTCAAATTTAAGAACTCGGGCAGTTTGCTATGTATCATACTTTATCGACTCGTCAGGCACCTACAGTAACCGGATTATCCCGCGAATCTGTAAGAAAAGTACTCAAATTACGGAATCTCTCTCCATATAAGAAGAAGAATTGAATTTTGTGAAATTATGACAGCTAGAATTATCGCAGAACCTCGGCTCATCAAAAATATTTGCTTAAGTGACGAGTGCACTTTTTATTCAAATGTGCACCCAAATAAACAAAACTGTCGCTACTGGAGTGACGAGTTATTAGAGAAGGGCGTACGCAATACCCCGAAAAAGTTCATTTCTGAGCGGGTATATTGGGATATATAATTATTGATCTTACTATTTATAGAAGGAATTCCAAATGGCGAAATGTATGCCTACATACTGGAAAGATCTGTCGAACCTCGGACAGTTCATGAATTAGTGAATCAGAGAGACATACACGGCAATTCATCTTTAGAAGATTATGTATTATATTTTCAACAGGATGGTGCACCTCTTCATTATGTAGTTCCAATTAGACAATGGTGAGATGGTAACTATGCTAATCAATAGATTGGAAGAAGAGGTTCTATTGAATAACCTCCTGGATCTCCGGACCTATCTCCTCTTGATTTCTTTCTCTGGAACCCCTCTTTTCAAGAAGCAACCTGACTCTATAGAGCAACTGAAGGAAAGAGTGATACAAAAATGCCGTTTCCAGAGAAACGTTTGCCAATGTACGTTGAGAGTTTCAAAATAGAGTCTTGAAAAGAGTGGAAATCATCCGGAACATTTTTTAAATCAATGATAGAAAATGAAATTTCAGATTAAATCAATAGTGTTTTATTGATTACACCAAAAACTACTACATTGAATGTAGCATTGTATGGTATCAAGAGCATTTCTTCAGAGCTTCTAGATAAGGTATCACAAGTACGAAGTTGCTATTCGAGACTATAAAGTTGGGGTGGCTGGAGGCGAGGGGGTAAGTGAAAACAAGTTAGCGATCAACTCATTTTGTGTCCCTTCCTTATATTTTATTTGGTTGCTCAGATATAGCCATTGTGAGTTTTCAAATTGTCACCCTGTATATATGTTTACATAGGAATTGAGTTAACTTACCACATTTCCTGGTAGAGTAGAAAGTAAAACAGGCAAGGCAGTCATGGCGACTTCGTTGAATATTCCTGTTCTTCTGGCACTGGAGTATTTTGAGAATCGGCCATGAGACTTCAACTCTAGTTCTGAGTGTACTATAGCTTCCTGGAAGAACGTGGTACAAACTTAGTAATATTTGTCATAGAGGATAGTTGTCTACTGAAAATCTTATATATTTTTCAGGATAATAATAATAAAAAAGATGGATAGTGCTATTTTTGACATCCACTTGAATATCAGTCACAGATCTCCACATAGAGTGGAAATGCATACAAACTTTTTTCTCTGCCTTCACTATCAAAAAATTTCTTTCACATCAATTCATGAATTCTTCTGCTGAATTATTTATAGTTTTTTTGTAAGTCTTCAGGACTATCTGCATCAATGGCCAATGTAGTATCATCTGCATAGAGAACTACTGAATCTGAACTGATATAGTCAGGTAGACCGTTCATGAATAACAAAAAAAAATAAGCGACCCCAAGATCAATCCCTGAGGAACTCTCCGGTCCATCCTATAATATTCAGATTTATGCTCTTCGATTTTATCTGATAAAACAAGTTCTGTCAACGCTGTGGCTGAATCTCGAAAATCAATCAGAACATGTTGTTACTAGTTCCATTACCATAAGACTAAAAAACAATATTTAAAAGGAAATGTTAAACTAAATCAAATTATTGAATTAAGGCGTGGATAAAATCGATTGTGGTTTATACAAATGCTGGTTCTTCAAAGATGAGAACTATATAATTATAAACAGTGAAATGTTGATAGCATCTTCGAAAAGCTATGAGAAACTGATTTATGTTCGATACGTAACTAGGAATAACTATGATTCTAAACTCTGACCCGCCAGAGTTATGAATTAAAGATGAAATATAATTGAACGAGAGAAAACTCAATATTCAGAATTGGAGTAGGCATTGAAGTATGAGAGGATTTTTGCGTTTTGAAAGAAAACCTGCTACAAAGTTGACAAACCATGCTACATTCTCCTCAATCTAGTGAGTACCTCACCATCGATCAGTTTGTGACTACTTTCGTCAGCTAGGTAAGCAACACAAACGTTTCACTTGAGACCTCGGTTACCTGGAATTGATTCCAGGAAGAAGCCCCCCTCCAGGGCTTGAAGTACCAATTGAAGTACTCCTGATCCTCACAGATAACTTGTAGGCATCCAGGACAGAATGTACAGTTCTAGAATCGTAAATATGGATCCTTTTTTGGAATACTCTCTACCAGAGCCCCAATGGGATGCTGGAGAGATTTAGGAAATTGGTTGGTATTGAGGTTGTATGATATCCAAGGCGCTAGATTCTCGCTGCAACGATAGCAGCAACCTTCTCATGCGAGAGCATCTGTGAATCAGATATACCTGACGATACATGATATTCATCTATACAGGGCTTTTCGGCCTCTAGTTGGAGTTGCAGAGGGAGTTTGCTGCTCTTCAGTAGGCGACATAGTCGCTTCCTGGCTACATCAGCTAGTCTCCTAGATCTGTTAACAAGATCGAGAGTTGAAGAACTGATCAGATCTAGCTCTTGATCTGGTATTACAAATACGACAGTAGAGGTCGTATAATCGACGTAAATCACCTCTGTTTAGGGTTCATGAAGGCTTCCACAAGTAGCTAGGGAGAATGGGATCATGACGGCTGAGCCTTGCATTACCGTGACATGACGAGAAGAAGCCCGGTATCTTTAATGTACCGCTAGTGACACCACGAGTGATCCTGCCAGTGATGCTACAAGAAAGCAGGCATCCAATAGCTGAATTTGTTCAATTCCGCAAACCAAGCAAACACAGACTCAAAAAGCAGCAAGAGGTAGTTCAAGCAATGAACAAAGAAAGAAAATCAATCCTCAGATCAAACCTACCTCTCCAAGAACAATAGGAAGAAACTCGTTGTACGTGATATGTTGAATTTCTGCTATAACGATCCTGCGACTTTCCAAAAATATCTCCTCATCGGTCCAATGTCGGTTCAGACGAGCAAGATCAACTGCAACTCTGTTATGTTCTTTCAATAAGGCGGAATAAAGTGCGTTTGACCTACAAGCAGCACAAGCAGAAACATTGAGCAGGCCGGCATCATAGGTTCGGAGTTTTTCCATCTGTTGATGACTATTGCCATAGATAGCGGAAGCATCCAAGTAGGAGGTGGCGAGGTTCATTTGTTCCCGGTATTCTGAAAAAAATGAATTTTGTAATTTGCATACGAGAATTTTTGGTTGTCTCAGAAACCTTGAAGTTTCCTTGATTGAGGTTATGTTGAATCAAATCTTAGTGGTTGAATAAAAATACTATTTTCACAAACAGATTTTGAATGATGATGATGATACAAAAAATGAACACTTCATGTTTACTCATTTCCCAGTGAATGAATCTGCTTTGCTAGAACTTTGCTAGAAAACATCAACATCAAGGTTGAAATATGATCCTCATTATTTTGCTTTCATTTCAATTTTTTCTTAGAATCAGTATTCAGTCAAGTCCAACTGATCATAAAAAACATACAGTGGTTCCTTATAACTTTCTGACAATCAAGGAGGTCATTTGAAGTAAATATAGAGAAAGAACTCCAGCAACCACAGGTTTTATCAAAACTCAAAAATGATATCTCCCATATTTGGGAAGCTTGATCATTTCTTTCATCATTTTCGCCATTGGAGTGTCTAAGAAACCACAACATTTCTTCAAATGTCACTTTCAGAAAATTTTCTCGTTTTTCAAGTCTTCATGTCACTGTAAATACTCTCAGGTATTTTTCATACCGAATTTGCTCAGATAACTTACGAAATTCACAACTGTCCGAATCAACCGCTGGCAAAGTCCTCATATATTCTCGGCACTGACCGTGTCCCAGCTTTCCATAACATTCCCCGTGCTTCTTGGCATTGTCACTGCAGCAATCTTGCGTCTTCAGGTTTCCCGTATTTGCGAGATCATGCAGCAGAAGTTCACTCCAAGCCCCCAGTAAAGCAGTAACTGACTCATGTTTGGTGGCAGGATTATTTTGGAGAGTTGAAGCAACGTCGATTGCGCTGGGAAGGGAGTGTGAATCGACAGACTGCTTGGGCTGATATTTCCCTGTAAAAAAATCAGGTCTAATGATCAAGAATCTCTATGAAGAGGAAACCCTTCAGATAAAAGGAACAAAAATACCAGCAGTTTGAAAAGAGGGTGTTATCCAGACGAGTAAGGAATTTCCCAAAGAGCCTTGAATGTGATATGAAAAAATATCATAGTTGCCAGCTTGTACCACTCCCCGTCCTCCCTGTTCAACTATTTCCAAATCTGGCATAGCCAAGAACAGATGAGGAATGAAGAACATACCATGAGTATGTTAGATCTAAAGGTCTTCCAAATGTTCTGTAAAGATACTCACGGCAACCTAAATCGAATGTAAACATGGTGAAAACTGCAGGTTTATAGTGAGTAGTGACTTACCTTCCTCAGCCTATCAAGTTGGTAAAAGCTTCGATAAAAATTCTCCAACTTCAAGACAAAGAAGCATATATGTGGATGACCCATTACACCAGTAATAGCGCCACACATAGAGTAGTCTAGGAATAAAGTAATTGGCTCTTTGCGAGTAGGTTATACTTTTTACAGAAGGATACAAGTCTGTTGAGACAGGATTTTTCGAAAATTTTTGACAGCAATGCAACACCTTTGTAGTTGGAGATTAAGTGCTCATCATTTTTCTTGTGAACAGGAACTACAATAGCATGTTTAGGACACGAGGGAAATGAACCCTCAAGGAAAGAGAGATTAAGTAGGTATGTAAGTGGTTCAATAATTAGTTCAGCAACATACAACAATAATCTACCTGGTAATTTATCGATGCCACTAGAGTTCTTATACGATATGGACTTGATGATATCAGTTTCTTCTGAAGGATGAAGAAAAAAAGGTTTGTTTTTATATCGTGATGATGTTCACCAGCAGGTTCAGAATCGTTGATTAGAGAATTGACTGAGTCAATAAAATAATCATTGAAGACTTGAGAAATAACATACTGAAATTCAGATAAAACTGTGTATCATCTGCATAAGCCGGGAGTTCACAACGTTTAACTTCATTTAAAATATCTTCAGTGTATATGATGAAAAGCAATGATCCTGAAATAAAGTCCATATTGTGAAAATTGGTAATCATTATCATAAATAGTGTCATTGATGTCAACCAAGTGATGGATCAGTGTATTCAAAATTAATATGAAACTATCTCTGAGATCGTGAACAGCTTGTGAAATTAGAAGCGGTTTTATGTGGGGATAAAATTATCAAATTCGGTGTACCACAAAGGACGATGTTTATACTTCTCTTCTACACCTTATATATGAATAGTTTTCTTACTTCATATAAAATATGAAGTCAGACAATTAGTTTTGCAAATGACATTGCTATACGTGTACATCACAAAGATTTGGAAAGAACTCAAAATCAAAATGGAAACTGACACAAGAAATAGTTAACAGGTTTGGTCATAAATTTCTCAAACTGAATTTTGATAAACTTTTGCATATTCTGGTTTACCTACTAGAGTATGAAGTATGACTTCATCATCTGAACACGCCAACTTGGTTGACGAAACGTGCATCGAAAACTGTATTGCACTTCTGGTGAATGGAGAAAGTGGTCGTTTTGGATCCATTTTACGTCAAAGGTTCCATTTTTATATTTTATCGGTGTATAGCTTCTTATTTCTTTTTGAATAATGTAAAAATTAATCTCATTTCCACCACAATACTTGACCTACTACCTGGTGGAGGGTCAAGCATTGTTCAACAACGATGAGTAAATCAATTAGAAGTATTTTCAAACATTCACTCACCATCACCATAAACTGGGGGCAATAATCTCAAGAATTTTTCTCCTCTCGTACCCCATTTTGGATGACGGACATTATTACACTCTCCAGATAGTTTTCTGAATTTCATCGCCGAACAGTCAACTGGTTCTTCTGGTGGACACAACTCTTTGGGCCATGGCTGACCGCTTGCTGCATATCTTTCGATGATCAATGCTCTCCGGACAATGGGTCTCAGATCTTCCGGTAAAGTCCTGGTGTATTGGGTGATGTTGTATTCGTGGGGTTTCAGGGTAGATTGAGAAGATACGGAGAAGGGGAGTGTGAGAAGGAGAGCAAATAGCGGTAACCTGAAACAGAACTCATTTTAGGAACGCAAATGAGGTACGTGCCTTAACCAATTCCTCTGCAGCTCTAAAGTGAGTTGTTATAAGAAATGTAAGCATTGACGTTAGTATCAGGAATAATAATAGTATTGGAAAACAAAGTACAACACTGCAGGGCGTCGTTCTTCATTTGCTTACAAACTGCTGCAAAAACATCTAGGAAAACATAAGCTGACCATTAAACCTTAAAGCTCAGAGTTGATGAATCCCTCTGTGTATACTGTTTCAATTGGCAAATGTATGTTTCAAGTAGTATAATATTCTTTCCATGTGGTGCCTTCAAAATTTGTTTCATTATAAAATCATTATTGCTATTTTCTCTGCGGATGAACATCTTCACCAGCAGAAGGAGGTTGCATATCCTAATGAGGACCCAGAGCTGATTTCGAATTGCGACAAAATTAACCAGCTTCAATTCAATGCTACGAAAACCCAGTCATCGATTTTCTCCATAATTATGTCACTTGGAACACTGCTCCAAATCAGAAAACTGTACACCTCAGCAACTTTTGATGCTTTATAAAGCTCAGATCAGACCTTCTTTGAGATCTCTGTCTCCAAACATACCTTGATGTTCCTGGATTCCATCCAGAAAAGAGCCATCCGCCAGATTGGAGACACGAACAACACGTGCAACCTTGATTGCCTGGAACATCCAAGAAAGGTTAGAGATTTGTCTCTCTTTCATAGATACTTTCACGAGAGGTGTTCAAGTGTCTTGGCACATTTCATTCCATCAAAGTAGGAGTTGCCGGAGTATAGAACACCCCCACTCCTCCACTTTTCGTCATTACCCAGTCGACCAATCAGAAGCTACCGCGCGCATAGCGGGAAATTCAAATCGTTCTCACTTCAACAAGACAGACCACCTATCCAAATTCACCAGTGACGTGGTCCCCGTGACCATCGGCGACTGGAAATTTCATGAGAATTGAAATAAAAAAATTATCGGTTAGAGAATTGAACCCAGATCATCGACTCGGAATACCACACAATCATTCCAGCGCTGCTTTAACATTTCAATAACACTGTTGTAGAACGATTTATCTTTTGCCTCAAAATAGGCCTTAGTTCCAGCCATAACCTCTTCATTAGAGCGAAATTTTCTACCGGTGAGCATTTTTTTTGAGGTCTGAGAATAGCCAAACGTCACTGGGAGCCAAATCTGGCGAATACGGCGAATGTGGAAGCAATTCGAAGTTCAATTCACGTATTGTTTGAAGATGGTTGACAATGTTTCATGATGAATTTCACTAGTTCGGACTTCCATTGTCAAATGAAAATAAAAATAAATAGTTAAGAGATTCCAAGCTACGTTAGTTCACGACGTTTCGATTGTTAGTATCTACAATCGTCTTCGGGTGATAATTGGACTGATTCCTCTGAGAGATGACTATTTATAGGTCGTTCGAATACTTTCACTTATTTCCGCTTTCCATTTTTTCCGCTATACTGGTTCAGTAGGAGATGACCATTTGGCGGAATTGGCTATTTTTCGCTTGATGATGGGTTTCCATATGTTGCGTATCTCTACGCTAGCTTTCTGAATACGTTGTTGTACAGCATATAAGCGACTTCCTTGAATTTTCTCCCAAACCAATGTTCCTCTCTGTGTAAGATTTCAGCTTGGGACCATTCGATGTTGTGTTGATGGGTCCAAACATGGTCTGCTATTCCTGATTTGCTGGTTTTCCCTCGCTGTGTGTGTTTCTTGTGCTCGGCAATGCGAACATTCAATGTCCTCTTAGTTTCACCAATATAGGATTTTCCGCACTCACAGGGTATCCGGTGAATGCAATTTTTGGAATCGCAGTCCGCGTTTGGTGGCCTGGTTTTCGTGAGGCTGCTACGGATAGTGTTACCGGATCTGAAGCAGGTTCTGATGTTATACTTGGAAACAATGCTTCTCATCCTCTCCGATAATCCTCTGATGTAGGGAAGTGCAAGCACTGGTTGTGACATAGTTGTGATGGAAGGTCTCATGCTGTTGATGTGTTTCAGGAAGGCGTCTAGTTCAGTATTCCCATGTTTCCATATTATGAAGGTGTCGGGGATTTTCCCAACCAGACTGGAGGTTTCTTGTGGGCTTCTTCTATGGCCAGAGTTTCAAACAACTCCATATTTATGTTGGCTGTGACTGGTGAAAGTGGCAATCCCATTGGCAGTCCCTCATCTTGAGTAAAAAATTCGTCCTTCAGTTGGAAATAACAGTTCCGTACACAGCATTCTAGTAACTCCATAATTACTTCTATAGGTAGATTCGTTCTCTCTTTCAGGTTCCCGTATTGGGGTAGCTTTCTCTGTATGATTTGGAGTGCTTCTTCGACCGGAACGTTGGTGTAAAGGCTTTCCACGTCGAAGCTGATTAGTTGATCTTCCTGTCTGACTACAATTGACCCTAGTAGTTCGACAAAATGCCTTGAATTCTTCACAAAAGACGATGTTTTTCCTTGTAATGGTTGTAATATGGGAAAAATCTAGACAAGTTTTGAGTAGCCGAATATCTGGAGCTGATGATCGGTCTAAGCGAAATGTCCTCTTCTTGTGGATTTTGGGTAATCCATACAAGTGAGGGGGCTTACTGTGGTGCGGTGTTAGCGATGATCTTTCCTTGTCCGAAAAATAGACTTGGTGTTTTTTCAAAAGCTGGTACAACTTCCTTTCAATTGATGCAGTAGGGTCCCGTACGATCTTCGTGTATCGTCTCTTCTGGAGAACATCTTCGATCTTTTGTTCGTAGAGAACAGTATCGTTTTATTAATTCATTTCAGGTTATTTTTGCTTGATATAATCATTATTTTCAGCTAGTAATTTCTTCAATTCATGTAGTTTTGCCATTTTTTTATTTGCCATATGCGGTCGTTTCATTGAAATTTCGGCCTTCAAACGCTACAATAACGATATATAATATTCACCGTTGATGGTATTTCCCTTCTCAAGATAGTCGACCAAACACATCCCAAAATAATGAGGCCATAACCTTTCCAGCCATTTGTTGGGCTTTCAGGCACTTTGCACAAGGTTCACCAATTGCTCTCCCATTACTTTGGCTGGATTATAGTGGTACTCAGTATCAAAACATCCATTTTCTTGAAATGAGTTCTGTTGCCTAAGGTTTCGCTTACTCTCAAAAATATTTTTCGCTACAGTCCCCTCGTAGCTACTTCAAATTGTGAACATTCATCAAATTTCAGCTCCGATAAGACTACAGTTCATAAAAAACACGCAGTAGAAGGCTGATATCGTCATCATGAGAGAAACTTCACCGAAGAGGCAACTAATTGATGATATCCGCATTCTAAATGAAATGCAGATGATACTGTGGCTAAACTGGTTTTTCTGACTTACTGTGATTAAATCATTGCTGTTACGATCACACATAGTTATTAGCACGTGCTCAATCATTATAAACCACCAATCAGCGAGGTGTCTCTTTGACTGTATTGGAGTAACAGGAAATCTAGTCAAACTCAGTTGTCCAAGAAATTGAAACAGAACAAATCAAGAATTTTGTAAAGTATATTATTCCACCATGATACAGTACATGGGCTGAAAATTCTCGGACCTAACACATAAATGGCGTTAGTCTTATTGCATCTACCGTTTTTTTTAGTTAGTACCAACCTTCAAAAAAACTGTTAAAAATTCATGATAAGTTTGTGAGTTATGCTGCTGAAAGTGACACTACTTTGTTTATTTTCGAAACAATGGATCAAATACAATTTCCTGTTTTGATTTCACACTGCTTCTTCATGGAAAAAAATATCGTTCAAACGAAGCAATGGCTTGAAAAATGTTATAAGGACTCCGTATAGTATCAAAGAATTTCTTGATGCAAAATGAAAATATAATAAATGTTTTCATGTATATGTGTACAAATCTATTGAATAGTAATATTTTAATATTGTTGATTGTAAATTTGTCTACCATTACACGGTTTTTCATTTATGACGTATCCTTTATCATGCTGTATGTGATCTGTAAGGATTGAATAAATATTATTATTATTTTTTTGTTTTTTTTACCGTAGTGTGCGCTGATCAGGCCCTATCCCCCGAAGCCCCAATACATTCGGGAGGGCGCGCCAGCATTATCAACCAATGACCACTTCCCACACCGTGGGGTGAGTGATCATTTGGTCTGAGAATCATGTGCCCTGAGCAAGCGCAGTGAGCCAAGAATGACAGCCTTTTGCATCTGTGCGGCTAAGATTTCTGCCTTAGTGCGGCAAGCCGGTATGATTTTGAGATTCGAAAGTAGAGAGTGCATCATTCCACCAAGGACTTCAATAATCACAACAACCATCTTGACAGAGTGTTCTGTATAGAGTCTGCGGAGTTCGAAGAGAAAGTCTCTATATTTTATCCGTTTTTCCTCCTCTTTTCTGACGATATTCGTCTCGCCAGGAGCTGAAAACTCCACGACAAATATCGTTTCGCTCTGTTGGTCGAGAAGGACTACATTAGGCTTATTAGCTTGTATGAGCCTGACGGTGGAGAATTAATAGTTCCAATAAATTCGATACTTCTCATTCCCCACAACGGATTCAATATCCCCCGGAGCGTAGGGCAACACTGGTGTCTCGTCAATACCGTAAGAGTGCCGCACTCTCAGGGCCGCGTTATGCCAATGGATGTAGACCTAGACCGAATATGCTGGACATGCTGATAGCAATTGCATTAGGGTCTCGGGCGCCTCGCGGCAGACCCTGGACCTTGTGTCAGGAACCTCTATACCCATCACGTGACTACGGTAGACTAAGGTGTTGAAGACACCATCATGGCAAGCTATGATGAACCCCTCAGTTTCCTTGAGGGTGGTAGAAGAGTACACGCATGCTATTGGTATGAAATTCGGGATAGACAAATGTGCAATGTCCATCTCAAAAGAGGACGATGCGGGGACTACGGAGAGGATGTGCAGCTCGTAGATAGAAGCATCCTACACCATCTGGATGCCGGAGAGATGTATACTTACCTCGGGGTGGAACAACGCCACTCACAAGAGGTAACAGCAGTGAAAAACTTTCTCCGCGGCAAGAATCAGCACAAAATTCGACTGATCTGGTCATCGGAACTGTCGGGGAGGAACAAAGTTGCTGCAACAAATGTGCTTGCCGTTTCAGTCTTACACTACTCGTTTGGAGTAGTGAAGTGGACTCGGGAGGAGCTGTATCAACTCGATGTAAAGACCCAAAAAATGATGCATCTCTATAGGAGTTTGCATCCCAAATCGTCGGTTCCACGGTTGTACTTCCCCCGACAACAGGGAGGTCGTGGACTTTTGAGTTTGGAGTGTCTACATAATAGAATGGTACTGAATACAGCCTGTAAAGTCGTCAGGAGTTCGAATCCCATTCTCTACATGGTCCGCACGTTTCACAAATCACCTTCCAAAACGAAACGAATTGAGTGTCGAAGTTCTGCCTTGCCCACCATACTCCCCAGACCTTCCTTCTACCGACTATCTCCTTTTCAAGCACTCCAATAACTTTCTTACCGCTGGAACTTTCGCCAATCAGGATCACTCAAAAACGGCCTTCGTCGACCTTCATCGAATCCTGAGCACCCAATTTATATGCTGACTGAATTAATCGGACTTGTGTTACGTTGGCAAAGAAACACTGACTCAAATGGCCCTTATTTTCCTGATGTCAGTGATCCAAAGACAATAAAGCGCTCACCTTCTTTCATACTGGAGCATTCACTTTTTTCTCCCATACGAGGTCATTATCGAAGTGAAGTTATGTAATAACACAAATCATGTTCGAACAATAACGTTATTAAAGGCAAAAAGCGTATCTAGCGTAACGAATAGTGTAGAATATTTCATAGCATTTTTATTCAATGAGAGCAAAAGTGATTACGTTTGTTCCACTGACCGTTACTTGTTGAAGACAGTGTTGTTACTTCCATTTCGTTGCCCATTGAAAGGAAAAGTACAGTGAATAGTACCGTAACGTGTGGAAAAGGTGTAACCCAGAGAAGTTTTGCAACGCTGCATAACGGATGGTTTCGATATGATCATTAAAAAGAAAATTGTAATTGTGTTGAAATTTCCATTTCATTACCTGTAGTAACAGAAAACAAAATTTGGTAAACATAATTCTCACCTTGGTTTAAACTCAATTTTTCCTAATGAACTTTATTTCAAGAAACATTTCACGATAGTATATTTTCCTTCGTTAATTTTTTTTATATATTCAAAGATATATTTTGGTTCTTCCATCAATATAACGGAGCTGGGGCTGATCGCTAGTAACGAATAACTGCAACATCACAAGATGATGAAATAAGACTATTCAAATTATTACTTATGATGCACTGTTGGGAACCTTTGGTGTAGTAATGAATATTACTACAGTTTTTTTTTCCTCAACACCAAATCGTTATTTTTAACACCTCGACACGTGTTTCGATCACCAAGTGATCATTTTCAAAGAGGAAGATTAAAACTAGAAACTAACGCGAAGCTAACCCTATTTATGCTATATAGATATCCCATACAGGTAAACCACTCAGGTGTACCACCTATGCAGGTATACCAACCTAAATTGATTTTACAATTTTTCCTTATCTATTATTTTACAATATATTTTTAACTGTTATAGCTGTATATAAAACAATTTTCAGCTATATAAAAATTAATNCACCAACTTTTTTTTTTAATAAGGACCTGTCTTTTTTATTACAGATATTGATAAAGCGATAAATTCACAATCACATTTAATATTTTTATAGCGTTTCATTTGAAAAAACCACCATAATCAGTGACAACAATCAAACAGAAAAACAATTTATTTCATCATGAACTTCTGGGAAAAATGAAACCAATACGGAAAATCAAAGCTACATGACAATCTACATTAACTGGTCGAATTGACGACCTCTTTGTTGAATGCACATAAGTTGTCGGTACAGACAATTTCTGTGGTAATTTTCTAGCATAATAGGTGTAATACTAATACATGCATCTTTAATTTTTTGTTTGAGATGGTCGATATCTGTACTTGGTATTGAAAACGATCTGGAGATCCAGCTGGCCAGTTAATTGGTCCATTGTTTCCAATCCATTTTTTGAGAATATTGCATCTAAATGTTTCCTTACTATTGCTGCATTA